CCCACCACTCCACCACAGAGTCACCGCAGTAGACGTTAGATGAGCGCTGTCGCTCCGCGGCACTTGTTTTGTGTATGTCGCATTGCAAAATTGTGTTGTCTAATATGATAGCTTTATGTAAATACAAGCAAATGAATGTAATTTTCTAGATGTGTCTTTAATTGTACTAAATTGCAATTCAAATTTCCAGACTTCCATGAAAACTAAACAGCCCACTGGCTTATCTCAGAAAACGATGACTGATCAAGACATAGACGGCGCCACCAATGAAATCGCCCACCTGTGACGCAGCTAACCTGAAACAACATAAAGTAATAGTCTAATAGGTCAATATCTCGTTGAAATCTCAACAGCTCGCGCAGTTTTATGTAGTAATATATTTTGTGTCGGGCTTACGTGGTGTTTCCCGTGAACTCGTAGCATGCATTGATTATGTGATTTAAACTAGCTATCTACCCATCGATTAGTTTCAGCCATAAACTATGGAGATCTCACCATGGAGGCTGCCATCAGGTTCGCATGCCGTAGTGCGAAAAAACACACGAACTTGCTGAAATAGCTGTTGTGAACCTAGGCAATCGTTTTACCCGTATATCATCAAAACTTCTTCTACATTAGAATGGTTTCCCACCATCACTCTTTGGCAGCAATAGCGGGTGATTTCCTCTGTGTTTTGAACCCCCTCTCGTATACTTTCAGGCGTGATGGCTGAGGACGTGGGTAAGAAGCTCGACAATGCTCCGCGGCCGCCTCAGCATCTGAACCTGTTCGCTTTCAAGGCGGAGCCATCGTCGCATCACCACGGCGACGAGCGCGCCGCGCTCGAGGTGTTCATCCCGGAGTGCGTGGACGCGGCGCACGGCGCGCACACGTGGCCGTCCGCGCCCGTGCTCGCGCAGTACGTGTGGCAGCGGCGCCGCGAGATGCCCAACAAGAGCGTGCTCGAGCTCGGCGCGGGCACGGCGCTCGCCGGCGTCGTCGCCGCCAAGTGCGGCGCTCACGTCGCGTTCAGCGACGACGCGCACGCGCCCGCGTGCCTCGACAGCAGCCGCCGCAGCTGCGAGGTGAACGGCGTCACCGACGCCGAGTTCATCGCGATCACGTGGGGGCGCTTCACGCGCGATCTCGTCGCGCTGCAGCGGCTCGACTTCATCATGGCGTCGGACTGCTTCTACGACGCGCGCGACTATGAGGACATCGTCGTCACCGTGTCGTTCCTGCTCGACAAGAACCCCGGCGCAAAGTTCTGGTGCGCGTACCAGGAGCGCGGCGCGGACGAGTCGATCGAGGAGCTGCTGCAGCGCTGGGAGATGAAGGGCACCGAGATCCCGCTTGCGTCGTTCCACGCCGACTCGACGAGCGTCGCCGCGTCGCATCTGCCCGGCAGGCACACGATCCGCATGCTCGAGATTACGAAAATGTCGCCGTACACGTTCGTCGCCGGCTGCGTGTGCTGAGCGCGCGTGGGGAGCCGCGCGTCTTGAGTGAGGGAGGTAGAGTGCGAGGGAGCGTGTTTCGAGTGAGGGAGGTAGAGTGCGCGAGGGAGCGCGTCTCGAGTGAGAGAGGTAGAGTGCGCGAGGGAGCGTGTCTCGAGTGAGGGAGGTAGAGCGCGCGAGGGAGCGTGTCTCGAGTGAGGGAGGTAGAGTGCGCGAGGGAGCGTGTCTCGAGTGAGGGAGGTAGAGTGCGCGAGGGAGCATGTCTCGAGTGAGGGAGGTAGAGTGCGCGAGGGAGCATGTCTCGAGTGAGGGAGGTAGAGTGCGCGAGGGAGCGTGTCTCGAGTGAGGGAGTTAGAGTGCGCGAGGAAGCGTATCTCCAGAGAGAGAGATTGAGAGTGTGTCAGGATTGTGTAGTGAGAGAGAGAGAGAGAGAGAGTTAGAGAGAGAGATGGAAAGATGAAGATTGTGTCTGGATGACTTATCAAAAAAGAGAGGGTGTGCCAGAATCATGTCTTCTGAGAGAGGGTGTGTTTGGATTGTGTCTCAGAACGGCATGTCAAGATGAGGTCTCGTGAGAGAGTGTCAGATATGTGTCTCACGAGACATTCTTTCATGATCGCATCTCGTGTGGGAGTGACTTGCGCAAAGACGCTGCAATTTCAGTCCGAAGTCGACAGACCGATACCGATTGTGATGTGCGCGTGTTTGTAATCCGTCGGCACGTGATGAAGAGTGAGTGCTTATATATTAGTTGTACTGTGATCTTACAATAATAATGCGTGTGGAATGAAGCATGTTGGTCGCGTGTGCGTGGTGGCATGTGACTTCTGGTGCATTCCTGCGTTGTTATTACTGTTTATATCTATGCATCATATTTGTATAGCATACACTGTATCTGGATTATTGTAATTGTTGCAGTTAACAGATGTGTATAGTAGAGGGAGTATATGTCCACTATATGATGTTACACCGTTTTGCAAAGACGGCAAATATTCTAATTGTTGAGATGAGGGTGCGTGTTCGTATGAATTGCATTGTTAGCAACCACTCGGAGGAGGACGACTCTTGCGAGAATTCTATATCCTCTAAAGATAGGTATTTTCTGGAAAACAAGCTCAAGCCTACTGCTTAGCAATCATACATAGTATCTAACGGAGGTATTTACAATGAAAAGGTGGTTTTCCTTCAGATGAACTATCAAGTTAAGTCATTTGTCATTCATTACGAGTCTAAAGGACATTTTCGTTTCGTGATCAAACATTGTAGGATCGATCGCACGTTTGATGGAAATTTATGCTTAAAAGACACCACTAGCTGCCAACGCCCAGCGGCCAGCATTCTTCATGGGAAAACTACTTGCTTTCAACAACAAGTGGGGGTGACGAAAAAAGTCGAAGGCGAGGTAGCTGCTGCAGAAATTATCTCCTTTGCAAAAGAAAGAAAAGAATGGCAAGAATGGCCAGCCATTCGAATTTATGAAGTGAAACCATGACTATTATGTAAATATGCATCACTGCATGTAGGTTGTAGTAACTAAAGGTTGTGCAAACATGATATGCACAAGAAATGGACATGTATCACTTCAGCTGCTAGACTTAGTGGCACTATTCGACCCTATTCTTGAAATTTTGCAATTTGCTATTTTTCAAATAGAAAGCAATGACCTTGAGGTATATATAGCCAGTCATGATACTTCTCATCTGTGGAAGCAAGTGTACTGGTCGGTTGATCGTAACAGGCAATCTTAATTAGTTGGGTGCATAACATGTTTCAACCAGAAATCGTACGCTGTTATATTGTCTACATTCAACATCAAACGAGTGAGAGCAAACGATGTTACCATTGTAGGTCCTCAAACGTTGTTGATAGAAGTTTCTGTTACACAGGCGAAACCACATTCAGACGATGTTCCTGTTATGTTCCCCTTATAGAATGTCACATTTTACTGTAGGTTATGTTATTCGCTGTAGGCTATCGACATATGCATTGCTGAAAACACGGGTAAAGTGAAGATATATCCTATGTTTGAGGAAGAGGTAATGAACGGTTTGTGCGTGATTGATAAATTAATTATTTCTTCTTGAACAACGTGTTGGTGGTTGGCGGCTTATTTCTGTGAGCTGGTCAGAGGTTAAGTATTGATGTTGCTTTTATTCTATATAGTTGATCTATACATATTAAAGGCTTTATAAAAATAGCCTATTGTGACAACTTGGAGTGTTCGTAAAACCTTGTAATGGATAATTCGAGATATAGTTTTACATGTAACAGAGAGAGGGGGAGAAGGGAGGGAGGAGAAATAATTTACAGCAAGCATAAAGGATGCAAATCATGACAGTAGTAAATGTAAAAGTAGCTATAGTATATATTTAAGCGCTATATGAATAATTTTTAAACATTAAAAGTATATAAAAAAAAGGCGAATGTTGTTATCTTATGATGCATGCATGTTTGATATTTTGCATCTGTTATGTAATGCAAATAATGCTGTTTATTCTTCTTTTTTCGTACACGCACGTGCACACAAATATCGCCTGCATGAACGTCATAGGAATGTGCTCCCCAATATACAGTGTGTTTACGCGCAAGCACGCGTTCGCGCACGCTTCAACTCGTATTTATATCGTATGGGTTTTGGAATAAAAGCGGCCAACCACCTGCTGTAGGGGACCATACTGTTCTTTCTATGCATGCAAACATTCACATTTGATTTTTGTTTTTACATGTATAGTACGTATATCCCAAAATAAACATTACTTTATTGAGATTATATGTTTGAAATAACAGGCGCAGAACCGCATAATAAGGGTAAGGGTCCCCGTTCACCAGGGTCCCCGAGTCCCGATATGCACGCACGCACGCACGCACGCAGATGATAGGGTCTATTATATCTACTCAATTGTCATTGTTAATTGTCATTGTCACGATTTGTTATTATATTTACCCCTGATATATAATTATATCAGGAGTATGAATCTTATTATATGATGAGTATTATCTCATATTATTATTAAATGATGAGTATTATCTCTATTATCCACTCCTGATTATATATATATAAATATATATAAATATATAACTTATAAGAATTTCATTGACATTTTTTTTCTACATTAACGATTGCTACACATACACACGTATCTTCACAGACTTTAATTTGTACTAGGCATATATGGTTGCTTTACAGAAAAACAGCGCCGTGACAGCGATCAACGTAATTATTTTCTAGTAAATATCGTAAACTCTGCGAGCGTATACGATATTCATCGCTACTCCTAGCCTAACAGACACGTTGCCATGCATGCAGCTCAACTATCGTGGTAGGCTTAGCTCGCCGTGACTTGCATATCATTTCTGCGTGAATTCATATAGGCTGCGTCCATGCAATATATATGGAGTGCCCCCCCCCCCCCGGGTACGACAAATGCGTGGCGCCATTTTGGTGGAAAGATTGGATCTAAGCAGAATAGCTAACACAGGCGAATCGATAATGATAAATATTGTATGGAGGAGTGAATCGGCATAACTGTTATGCTGATTCACTCCTCCATACAATATTTATCATCGCATGATCTGCCCCGTGGCGCCACTCACTGTGCTACGCGGCTTTTATTCATCGGGTAGCATATGTGAGGTTGGGTCCAGCTTCATGTATATTTCAACATACATTGATTGGTGCATGATACTCATAAGATTCAACGTGCCGTCTGTGTGCTGCTAGATGCAGCGACGGACGATCTGTTCTCATCGTGTTGTCGATGGTAGTGGCACACGACATAATTACCAGTAGGCCTACCTGTCACGCAATCGGTCAAATCGGAATCCGTTCATTATTGCAATTCCGTCGTCTAACATGTGGACACCTGCTGTTGCTGCTTCTGTTACTGATAGTGCCGGTAGTTTTGGTGCTGCTGCTGCTGCTGCTGCTGCTGCTGCTGCTGCGGCTGCCGCTGCTGCATCACTGCGTGGTGCAAACGTGCCCCGCTGCTGCCAAGTGGCGTTGCGATCGATCGAGGCTTCAGCTAGAGCTAGTGGCCAAACAATAATACTCTTGCCAACACCCGCATCATCGGTACACTCCCTCGCGTCACGCGTGTGTGTCCTTCCACGGCGCAGGCGATAACGTATGCGTTCGCCAGTTCTTTCGAAGACGACGTGCCAGCGACATGAGAGTGTCGTAGACTCGGCGTAGTTTGAATAGACAAAATAACGCGCGAATAGTATTTAACTACGGTCGGGCATGGGGGACGAGACGAAAAAACCGACGAGCGGCGACGATGAAGATTGGAACTACACGGGACCGAATGGTAAATATAATCGGGTTCATTAGTTCGAATGCACGCTAGGAGCAGCAGTTCAAGGTGACTGGGTTAGAATTGTGGCTAGGTTTTTGGATGATGCGTTGCAGTTACGTAATAATTGTGATGATAAAGAAAAAGATGAGGATAATAGTATTTACGAATGGAAACCTGTTCCACCTGACCATGTTGGTAAGGGTCAATGTAACTGCTCTTGCTCTTGCTAGTGCTGTTGTTCACACAGCAGTCGTGCGCGCCGTCCTTTTATTGATGTGGATGTTGTCGTGGCATAAGAACCGCAGTGTTGTTGCCTGGATGAGGGAGGGGAGAGAACGAAAGAAAAAAGGGAGAGAGAGAGAGAGAGAAAGAGAGAGAGAGAGAGAGAGAGAGAGAGAGAGAGAGAGAGAGAGAGAGAGAGAGAGAAAGAAAGACGAGAAGAGAAGCGAGAGGATGAGAGACGAGGAGAGGAGAGACAGACCGACGATGAGAGACCGATGACGAGAGAAAAAAAGAGAGAGAGAGAGAGAGAGAGAGAGAGAGAGAGAGAGAGAGAAAATTGCTGCGCGGAAGGAGATATGAGGTTCAGTTTTGTTCGCGTAACGGAAATCATTGTCACATTCTAGATGGGAAATGATGAATAAAATATTACTCGTTATGATTGATACTCGGAATTTTGTTTACCGGGGATTTCACATAAAAACATATATATAGACGTAAGGTAAATATTTTCTACGAGTTAGATTTAAATTTAAGGTGTAGACCGCCATTCATTGAGATTAACATAGTTACTGTCGTATTGGACGGCCGTTCTAACCTGTCGTGTTCCTGCATCTGCGGGACTATTAGTGCAGCATCACTAACCACGGCAGCGACGGCGGGGGCGGCACGAAGCGATGGTACTTCCCGCACATGACGCGTTTCCATCTTCGAGTCGCGAATCGATTTTCCTGCCTCTGCGAATATATCGTCCCCTCGTACAGTGCAGTCACTACACGCAGTAACGGTAATACGTCGGTATATAGGCATTCTGCTGCTGCGTGCTCTCCTCTGTAAGCTGCGATATGATCAATATGTGCAGACAAAGCACATATCAGCAGCAAATGTGCAGGCAAAGCGTTGTCTATTGCGTACAAAGTGCAAGTCATGTGTTTGATAACCCGCACGTGTATTAGACCTACTTCGCGTGTTGGTGAAATAATACTGCGCCATTGTTCATGGCTTCCATTTAATGATTTGCTCGTTAGCTTGCACTTGCTAATCTCGGATGGACCACGTGCGCGCACGCGCGTGTGCTTGTTCGTGCGTCTGTGTGTCCGTGCGCGCGCGTCGGTGCCCCATGTGTACGTTACACCTATGGTTACACCGAAAATTAATACATATTGTCGTTCTACAGTTATACATCTGCACAGCTCTGGTCGAATCCATCGATTCCATGGTCGAATCCATGTCTTTTACGAAATATACACTCTACAAATCAAATTTAATAAGAGATTGTGTGATTAGATACGAAGAGAGATGTTCATAGAGATTTGAATCCTCTTTAGAGCCGTAGCCTGACCAATGTTATACTTGGTGAGGCGGAGGTACGGGACTCAACTGAGCAATGTAGGGTGAATACTTTTATGGAAATTGAAAGCGTTATTTCTTCTATGCCATTAATTGATTACATTCATTTTAGCATTAACCCTGGGGAGCCCAAGTGTTTTAACTTACAGGAAAATTATATAACCTTGGTTAATAAAGCATTAGGATGCCTGTAAAGCAAATAAATCAGTTTTTCAGCAATTTGGCCTTTTTGACCTACTTTTCTAATATGGGTCAGACGTTGACCCGCTGGGATATTGTGACATCAATCAATATAAAGTCGACATAAATAAAAAATAAATAAAAATAAAAAAAAATAAAAAAATAAGTAGACAGAAAAAAATCGCAATGTAAATTCAATATAACTTGGCTTTATTGTTTTTATCAGATATAAAAATGCATAAACTGCGTCTACACTAGCCATTGCCTTAGTAAAAACGGCCAATTGTCTTGGTAGTCAACGGCGACGACGTCCGAGGCCCAATTCCCTGTATATTAATATAGGCATAACGCGAAACTCAGGGCGTGATGCTGCGAGAAAAGTGAATATTATCAGGAGTTAATAATGATAAATGAATAATAATGACAAATGACAAATAATAAAATACGTGTGCTTGTCTTTATTAACCCCTGATATCATATATCTGATTTTACCATGCACACGTGCTGGCAGCCCGCCCGGCTCCACTTTGACCGTATAAAAACGGCAGAAGAAAATTATCTTAGCAGTCAACGGCGACCGACGTCCGAGGCCCAATTCCCTGTATATGAATATAATTATTATTATATATTGCTCCAAAATCTAGTATATATTGCTGCCACGAGGGATGGTTCTTGCTCTTAGTAAAAAGTATTGCTGTAATCATATACGTAGCAATTCGTAGTAATTTCGTACAATGGCCACAGACACCCAATTCTGTGCACCCATATCAAAAATTGAAGTTTTACGTTTTAGTTGGCAAGGTAAGAGCTTGTGCGTATAACCAATTTATTACGCGTGAACAATTAAAACATTACAATAATGTAGACACGAAGCACGTGCATTGAAATTCCTGGAATATTTTTTGAAAACTATTCGGCTCGATTCAGCAGTACCAACGTTCTAAAATAAAAACTGCCTGCGTAGACTTGTTACGTGACTAAAACACTCACTGTAGTTTGTGAATATTTAATTTTGTATGCAGACTGGCAAAGTAATTTGGATGCACTGCTCTCGGTAATTTACTTAGCATAAAAAATAAAAACGAGACAAAAAATTGCGAAAACTCGGTATTTGAAATAGCACACACGCACACACGCACGCACACGTAGGATGTACGCAGAAATACATAGCTCTTCCTCTCTCTTTCTCTCTCTCTCTCTCTCTCTCTCTCTCTCTCTCTCTCTCTCTCTCTCTCTCTCTCTCTCGCTCTCTCTCTCTCTTTTTCTTCTTCTCTCATTCTCTCCCTCTGGCTCTCCCCTTTTTTCTCCTATCTCTCTCGTACTCTCCCTTTCGTTCGATGGCACGCTCTTTCTCTCGCACTCTTTTTCAAATTTTTCTCTTTTTCAATATTCTGAAACAAAGCTGCTAAAACAAATAGCTTTGTGTCTCTCGTCTAAATCCAATTCATATTTCAAAACTCGCTGATAATCGGTTCATTAATTTTCACGGACCTTTTATTTATTCAATCGATAACTCATGAAGATGTTATAACAGTCATAGCAGTTATAACAGTTACAGGTAAATCTCTATCCAAACAAACAAACTGAGCAGATATTCAAGTTATCAAGCCATTAGTTAATTAACATATCATGCTCAACTAATTATAATGAGGGAAATAGCTATATCTAAGCATTTACATTAATTATGGAAGGAAACAAAAAATACACTTTATATATAGCTCATTTGTTTTGGAATACGCATATGCGACTAATCTTGACACACCCGTACAATTTATCTGGTGAACGAAACAGCACCGCACCTGTCGCTACACTCGACGCTAGTATAGGCAAGGAATGAACCCAGTGAAATAAAATCACGGGATGTAATTTTATCAGAGTACGTGTAGAACGGAAATCGGCAATGCCAAAAGATTAAGTCGGCGCTAGACAACAAAAAGTTTTAAAGTTATATAACAGTACTTGAAATAGTGACATTGTGGTATTTCTGGTAATATACAAACGCAACTGTATATAAAATAATATTAACTATATGTTATTATCATATCAAATAGCATTGTGTACAATAAATTATATAAAGAATACTTATACAACATGCAGTAGCGATGTATTTCCTATATCTAGAACACTCAGATGATCATTAGCATAAGCGATCCATTCACGCCAACAGATGCCAGCAACAGACCGCACGACTAAAATGTTATTCTTATTTTATATTATTATGTAGAATATATATAGGCACATTATGTTTTATATAATTATTATATGTAGAATCTTAGTTTTCTATCTTTCTTTTCACAGCAAGCATCATGTGGCCTCTTCACTATCCAGACGCTGGAGGCGAGAAACAGTCTCCTATCAATCTGGTCTCCATGGACGCCATACACGACGCGTCACTGGAGCAGACGCCGTTACAATTCCACTATGAGGCAGACGGAGACTGGGAGCTGTGCAACGGCGGAAATCTGCTTAATGTGACTTACAAGGCTGCTTCTGGAGGTGCGTGTGAGGGTAGGCACGGCGATACTGGTGCAGGGGTGATGGCGGCGGCGGCGGCGGCGGCGGCGGCGGCGGTGGTGGACGTGCGTGTAGTTGTGGGTGTGGGGTTGGCATGGGTGTATAGAGGTGCTGGAATAACTAGCGGTCGGTTCTATGTATACGATTTTCGCGCGCTCTTAATTGCGCGTGATTTCATTGTAAGACGCGGTCGCGATCTGACAGTAGCGGCCGTTCCTTTCTCACCCCGCCATTTTAGTAACGATTATTGCCTTTTCAGTTTTGAAAATTAGCTGATGAGTCGCGCAACGTCTTGCAAGAGCAACGGTTTCATTTCGAGCGCCAATGGTGTACATTTGTACTTTTCATTCGGAGCTTGACCGAATCAACGATCACAGTGTTGAATGAGCGCACGATGTATGGCACATCAAAGTCTAATTGGTTGTTGTATTCACGCTACTTTGTGTCTGACAACTATTCGTGAGCGGTGTAAAGAAGTTGAGGCTGTTGTATGAAATTGAACTAATTAGGCGCGTTCACACTGGCGGGAATTAGCGGGATGCAAATCTCGGTTTTTGCATCGCGATCGAAATACCGAGATTTTTACAAGTGTGAACGCAAAAATCTCACTAAGTATCGCGATCAGCATCGCGCTGCAAATCGCACTTTTGACTGCGATTATTTGGGAATTAGCGCGATTATTTGCACCGCGGCGTGTGTGTGAACGCTCGCGCAAATAATCCCGGTATTTTCTATCCCATCATTCCAAGCGATCGTATCAACATCCGGTAGTGAGCATGCGCAGTTCGATTAATAGAATTATCCCGCTCGGCGATTAGCGAGATATTTCCGCCTGTGTGAACAACGACACAATTATCTCGGTATTTCTATCGCGATTAGCATCGCGGTTTTTCTTGTGTGTGAACACGCCTATTGTAAACATGTATTTATATTATATAGATCAGTGGTTGTGGTTACTAAAATCCGGCATTATAGTTACATGACTTATTTTTGCAGATGTAATGATATTCCATTATAGTGTGATGCTCAGACGGTCTGGTAGCCGAAGGTATACTCATATCGTATATACGGCTGAGCCTATATATATAGCTTAAATTATTCAAATCACGCAGAATCTATATATATCGAGTTCTGATGAAACGCTCTCTATGGAACAAAAGGTGTCATAGGAGCGAACGTTTATCACACAACGATACGATATGGAAAATTTCGAGTTAATTTGTAATTTATGAAGACGCTGCACAATTTTCGTTTCAGATAGTTACTTCAGTGGCGGTGTACCAAACAGCGACTATAAACCAGGTAAGCGGATCTCGGACGCGCGTCTAATTAATGCAGCTTTAGCGTGGCGAAAATATCTCGGCCGTGAGAAGAACATCTGTTGGAGAGATGTGCAGCATGCATGCAGCACGATAAGAGAAATGGAAACGAGATCAGACATGCGCACGAAGAAGCATTTCTACGTACCGTCCTCTGGTGAACCATTTAGCGCCGTAAATAACCGATAGTTACCGTTCGAATGCCACTACACAACTACAATACAATCGGTCACAACCCAGTTGGTTGCTTTTATGGATGCTAATGGTCTGCTAAGTCATGGATGCGCGCACGCGTGTGTGTGCGCGCGTGCGTGCGTGATGAGTGCGATAGTTCTAGAAGCTGCGACCCGAACCAATTACACATTGCGTAGAAGTAAGGCAATGATTGCTTTCGATGGTAAAAGAATCGTACCGCTCATAAAACTGCTAGATGCTGATATGACCCAACTCGATTTAATTCCCACCAATCCGAGATTGCCTTGTTACAGCAGGCAGGGCTATTAGGCGTATCCCTGGTCTTTTAATGCCTAAATTCGACCAGGAACCAGTAGGTGGCGCATGCAGCGTGTCAGTTTGCTGTGTGCATAGAAATAGATGTATACCTCCTGTGTTGGTATGTATCTATTTCTATGGTTGCATGTATCAACGCGGATACCGCTACCGGAGTGTATGAAGCCGTAGATTACGTGAGTCCTACGGTTCTATACGCTCTGCACCCAGCTTTCAAATAAGAGTCGAGTAAACATAATTACCATTTACCAGCATTGAGCGGCGGGCCACTTCCAAATGGACACGAGTTTACACTGGCCGATCTCAGGATGCACTGGGGCAAAGATGGTTCAAAGGGATCGGAGCACACCGTCAACGGAAAAGCCTTTCCGATGGAGGTACAGCACGTGCGTGTGTGCGCGTGTCCGTGCTCATGTGCATGTGCTGGTGCGTGCATGCACGCGTGCGTGTGTATATATGTAAACTTTCTGAATCAGTGTCCTGAGCACCTGCGGCCGCATATGAGCTCGAGAACATAAATTCTTTTGCAAGTAGAGCCAGAGGGGGTGAAAACTTGAGTCCGCTTACCTAACCGCAAGATTGATGCGGATAATAACTGCGGTTAAGCACTGTAACAACAACAACAACAACAACAACAACAATATTAATAATAATAATAATAATAATAATAATAATAACAATAATAATAATAACTTCTGGTCAACCCAGAAGCCATTGGCTAATGCTGTGATCCACTTTGGAGATAATAATAATAATAATAATAATAATAACAATATATGCAATAAGCCTCTAATGAGAGTAACGCCTAATTCTCGTGGGTCATGCTTTGCTAAAAAGTATCCATAATAATGAAGATTTTTTACAAGGAAATAATTATTCGAGTGAAATGCACGAAATCAAGATCTGATCAAAGATGTTAATATCCTACGAGCGACGACAGTCGTAGACCTCCATTAGTTTTCGCAATTTATGTCGTTCGGATAATCTCGGTTGAAAGTGTTATCGGGTGGTATGTCCGGGCAGGCGTTATACGCGCTTGATAATTGGTTCTGCAAATCACGTGCTTGGTTTTGCCACAGGTACACCTGGTGCACTGGAACAGCACCCTGTACAGGTCGCTGGGCGCGGCAATTGGAAAAGAGAATGGCATCGCCATTATAGTGATCTTTGTACAGGTAACGCAAATCTGGCTGCAAATGTTAATTGTGCAGGCGCGCACGCACGAAAAGCCGCGCTCATTCACGCACGAGAAACTTTTCCAAGGATGTACTCGCACATTCGAAAGCTGTTTTCGAAATGATAAGCTGTTACATTGCTATAAACACTAACAAAACAACATAAAGAGTGATTCGGTAGAGAAACATCAGTGCAATTTCTTTACATTCACGAAACATACCAGCTGTATATCATTATGGACAAAGTAGTTAAGAACCTCAATATAAAATATGAATATAAACAAGCAATATGTAAGCAAAATGTGGTTCAGATGAAATATAATAAAGTATCTCACCATACAAATTATTTTTTATTCTCTAAACAAATTGCATTCATAGCACTCCTTAATTTCAGATTTCCCAGATCCCCAGATTCTCTCTCTCTCCTTTCTCCCTCTCTCTGGCTCTCTCCGTCTCTCGCTCTCACTCTCGCGCGCGCGCCTTTTCCTCTTTCTTGCGGGCTCTCTCTATATATTTATCGCGTTTTTTTGTCGCTATCTCATTCTCTTGCCACTATGTCTCTCTTTCTCGCGCGCGCATGCTTGTTCTCCCTCGACCTCTTTTCCAGATACTCGGTATTTGCTAGTATTCCTTCGCTGTATGTCCTCGGTTATTGCCGCATTCTCTGCTTCAGTGCATTACACGTTCTTTGATCTTTATAAGCTATATAACTCGACCATAAACTGTATGTGCTGTGTGCTTTATTAACGTAGGTTTAATGTCTGCAAATGCCGTTTGTTCTTAGGTAGGACGGGAGCACAGCGGTTTGAAACGCATTACGGACAACCTACACGAAGTGCAGTACAAGGTATATTAGGCCTATATATATATATATATATATATATATATATATATATATATATATATATCAAGAGTACATAATAGAGAGAAGAGTATGACACCGTTTTAACAGTGTTTTGCATAGTTTTCAACTTGTAAATATTCTGTCAATATGTGAATAAATATATTCAAACTTTACCTTGTTTTCGTGTATGTTAGGGAGATTAGACATAGAATTGTATTCAGCGTGTAGCGTTTCCAGCGTGCTAGAAATAAATAGAGCTAGCAGCTGATTTTAGCTGTGTTGCCATCGTGTTCCTGATGATAAGGAACATTCGCCGAATAGATGCAAACCATAGATAGCATATAACAACACTCTCAATCATTTGTGCAAACATTTGGGAAAACTGTGGGAAACCGTGTCGTATATTCAAAGAACATTTTTGAAGAACACATACGATTTTCAGGTAAACTGATGGTGTCATATGATTAATGGGAGAATCCGAGACGAAAACAAGATAAAGTTTGAATATATTTATTCACATATTGATAGAATATTTACAAGTTGAAAACTATGCAAAACGCTGTAAAAACGGTGTCTCTTCTCTCTATTATGTTGATAATAGTATATAGAATTAAAGAAATTAGAAAAAGAAAGAAAACACGATTACTTGACAAGATGAAGAGGTTGAGGTGAAAGAACAGGAGACAGTTATTTCATTCTCAAGACGAGGGAGGGCGGTTATAAAGCCCCAGCGGTTCAGGCTAGGGACATATCTTTATACATCTAGGTATCAACATAAAAGTGTTTCAGAAGTTACGTAAAATTCGTGTGTGTGTGTGTGTGTGTGTGTGTGCGTGCGTGCGTGCGTGCGTGCGTGCGCGCGCGTGCGTGCGTGCGTGCGTGCGTGCGTGCGCGTGCGTGCGTGCGTGCGTGCGTGCGTGCGTGTGTGTGTGTGTGTGTGTGTG